TCGGTATGACAGCTTCTTTACATGCATTTTGACTGCTCTCAGCACCCGTACCGTAAGTGCACAATTACACGCGCAAACCAAAAAAAAAGTGCGGCTGGCTTGACCGTGCATTTTCAAAGCGCGGCTGGCTTGACCGCAGTAGCTGAGGCGGGCTGGACTCCGCTTTGTCCACGGTGAAAGCCGATCCGGCGATGCACAGCGCGATGTTGATGTATTTCCTCAGTTACCAGCACGGATCAGCTCCAGGCATGACGAAGCGATATCGTCCTCTTTTGGAAGGTCAAACAAAGTAGTTTCGCTTTCACAACGAAACACACAGCGCCTTCACGACATGGCGGTGGTGGCAACAACAATACTACAGCGAGAATATAAGTTACGCCTTCTTTCTTTGCGTGAACGTTTGGGCGGCGTTATGCAAATCTTCTCACATCGTGACGTAGACATGTGGGGTGTGTTAGAACGAGCCGTTTTAGGTAGGCGTGGTTGACTCTTAACTTTTATAAAGAATATCTCTTTGGATTTGAAACTTTAGTCTTTGCAACTTTACAGATCTTCTTTATGCACCAAGAGCTTGTAACACTCCAAAGAGAAAGGAAAAATTGAAATCGCATCATATGACCTTTAAATTTCTAAAAGAGAAAACTAACTGTACAAGCTGACAATTTATACTAATACCCACCATAACAGCCCTTGTGGCAGTGCTGATAATGTGGCGTAATATTGTTTCATTATAATTTTTATTTGGACACATTTAGAATGGCAGCAATGCATAAAATCGAGCTTACATAGCTAGAAACATGTGTCCAAGCATTTGTTGTCTTTATCACCTGTAGGCACAGTTGTAACTTTATGTGTTTCTGCAATGATCCCAGGCACCCAGCGAATACGAAGCCAACCCTGAGCTGCTGATATACAGAATCACCCACCTGACCCGGGGTAAGCAGTATCTGATCTGGGCAGCCGCCGTTACCACTGCTGGTCGAGGAAACATCAGCGAGAAGGTGACTGTGGAGCCTGCTGGGAAAGGTGATTCTACCTAGAGTTTAATGGGATAATAAGTATCATTCATAGCTAAATGCCCCTTTTCATGAATGCTGGTGTCATATTTCGGCAATCAGCTCTGTACCTAAACATATGCACTAAAGAAGTCATATGATCTCAAAACAGGCAGTTTAACAGTTTCCACGCAGAAATTGATGTTTGAGGTTTCCTGTCTGTAATTTAGCTTTATTTACTTAGCAATCATGTAGAAATTGTGCAATTGCCTGATAAGGCAGATGACCTGAGTGAGAACTGGGTGTTACAGGTCATTCTCTGCCACTGATGCTCTCTTCTCTTCCTTTTCTTTGATTTTCTCCTGATGGATAGAGGTAAAGCCTGTCATTTATTATGTGGAGAGGAGTAAAAGCAACTAAATGAGAAAGAGATGGCAGACAATGACCCGGGCAATATGCCAGACAATGAAGGGGGCAGTTCAATCAATATTTATTGGGTCAGAAAACCAGGGAGAGAATCTATGAGTGTGTCCTTATTTAATAACTAATTCACAGCTAGTTTAAAGAGCAAGCATCTCTTGATAGCCGATTCTTTCATGTATGAACGATTTCCAATGTGATTGTGAAAAAAAAAAAAAAAAACTTTGTTTGAATTCACTAAATGTTCATTATATAACATGTAGACTTTAAACTGTAGAAAATATACTTCACACAGAACGTGTTTTTGTATTTAAAAATGCATGGAGCAGTGCAGTGGAATGGGGGGGTGAAGAGTCAAAAAAATTTTTTTTTTTTAAGTTTAACTTGAGTATCATGTTTTTAGAATGCAGTGTCATGCGTGAGACGCTGCAAAAGAGTTGAGCACAATGATCAAATATGTCTGTCTAATTTGGTGCTGATAGCTTTGTGGGCAGCGAGCCGACATATTGTGCCGTTGCGCTTCGGGCACCCATACTTGGAGACATTTCTTGATCCCGTCCCCCCCTCTCTCTCCCACTTTGCTTCCTGTCTATAGTCTGTCCTATTACAATAAAGGAAAAACTAAAAATAAATAAATATATAAATAAGATTTCCATCTAATATACATCAGTATATTAATATATGACTCTTTTGTTTGTGCTACTCAGCTCCTGCTAAAATCCTGTCTTTTGGAGGAACGGTGACCACTCCATGGATGAAGGAAGTCCGGTTGCCGTGCAGCTCAGTGGGAGAACCAACACCCACCATCAAATGGACCAAAGACAGGTCTAGGATCAGCTTTCGTCACTTTCCTGAGAACACTGTTTTCCCAATGAGTCTTTGAAATATAGACACAGGTTTAGATTTACAAACCCAAATACCTCCTTTTTACTCTTCTGACTCTTCTTAGACATTCACCTCTAATTTATTAAAAGATGAGAAGGTCAATATGTTTGATCCTCACAGTGAGGACACCGCCATCCCAGTCACTCAAGATGGTCACCGGAATATTCTTTCAAATGGTACCCTGGCGCTGCGCTCTGTGAAAGCCGAGGATTCTGGGTACTACACCTGCACGGCCACCAACACACTGGGGTTTGACACAATCATCGTAAACCTGCTGGTGCAAGGTAAGAAATAGTATACTTCCACAATGTCCTGAGACAACATGCCTATCAACCAGTCAGATTTTAAGGTTTGATTTTAGGGTTAGGGTGCTGTCACATGAAACTTGGCTAAATTTTATAGATTTTATATCTGTGTGGGGAAATATTTCGCTCTCAAGCTAAATTAATGATTCCACAGATTCCTATTGATGACTCTTGTCAACCACAAAAATGTGCCAAACAATAAATGTGACCATATAAGCTGGGGACAGAGATAGGATTATGTAAAGTAAGCAAGTAAACATTGATCCACAGAACACGTCCTACTAAAAGCATGGTGGCCAAAATGTGAAAAATTGACTGCTGGTGTTTGTCATTATAGTGCCTCCAGATCAACCACGTTTAACAGTTTCCACCACGTCCACGTCTTCAATCACTCTGGCTTGGATCCCTGGAGACAATGGAGGAAGTTCCATCAGAGGTACAAGAACCTGTCCTGTCTCTTTCCAGTCACCTCACACTTTTTATGTAGGGCTCCTCAAAGTACAAGTCTCTTTATCTCTCACCCTTTTTCATTTTCATTTTCATTTATCTGTCTTTAAAATTAGTTTTATTATGTTTTTTTTCTTCTTTTTACAATCTCTTTTTTTGTCTCTGTCTATCTGTCTTCCTCTCAGACTGTGTTTAATCTGTCACTGTGTCACATGTTACTGTCAAACTGCTTGCATCTCAGTAAAATAGGTAAAAAACAGAGATGTGGTGTTTATGTGTGGAAAGATGGGAGGAGAATAAGGAGCACACAAGGCTGTCAGTGGGTAAATCCTTTTGATGTGGCACCCTTTATTTTGCCATCTGCCAAAGCCAAAGTGAGACACCAAATCTGGGCCGCTCCTAATGATGGGCGACGCCATATTGTGCATCTATTTGCATAACTGTGCAGTCAGCATTTCTCTCTCTCTGGGTTACTAATGGGGGTTTACAGCAATGTGATCAGCCCTTCTTCTGAGATTGCTACTCTGTGATTAGTCTGTAAGGTCAATGCGCCATCTAGTGGTGATGTTCGGAAATCTCTGTTCTGAGTTAACTCCAACTTCATGAGTTTGATTCCCAGGAATCGCATGAACTAGAAGTATAATATATAATATAATAATAATATATTGCATATGTGTGTGCATATTCAGGTTTTGTGCTGCAGTATTCAGTAGATAACACTGAGGAGTGGAAGGATGTCTTCATTAGCTCTAGTGAACGTTCTTTCAAGTTGGACAACCTGCGCTGTGGTACCTGGTACAAAGTCAAACTTGCTGCAAAAAACAGTGTGGGAGCTGGTCGCATCAGCGAGATCATTGAGGCCAAGACTCACGGCAGAGGTGAGCGGTTCTAGCTAATTCCCTATATTCTACACTTTTTGTAGCTCTTGTAAAATGTGTATGTGTGTGTGTTCATACTGGAAGATCCACTTTTATATACACTACCATTAAAAAATGTGGGGGTCTGTAAATTTTTGTTTTTGAAAGACGTCTCTTATGCTCACCAAATAATTTATTTTAAAAAGTAATTGATGTAAATTTAATGCATTTCTCTGCTGGCAAAGCTGAATTTTCAGCAGCCATCACTCCAGTCTTCAGTGTAACATAATCCTTCAGAAATCATTCTAATAACTTCTGATCAATTGAATGTTTCCTTGCTGAATAATTTCTTATAAATAAATAAACACATAAAAACATTTGAACAGTAGTGAATATCCCAAAATTAAATGTAAATTTAATGTAAAATTCTAAGATACATTTAAATCAGTTGGGTGTTGTATGTGACATTTAGACATGTGAGTGAAAAGTAGATCTTTATAGATTATACGGTAATCTATTGCATCAATACATCACACATTAATGTATATTGTAAAATGTGGTCTTTTCTTGTTTTGCAGAGCCACAGTTCAATAAGGACCAGCCCCTTTTCACTCACATCAACTCCACCCATGCCCGACTTAACCTGCAGGGCTGGACGAGTGGCGGCTGCCCCATCACTGCAGTCCTGCTAGAGTTCCGCCCCAAAGGCACCTGGGCCTGGCAGAGCGTGCGCACCAACGCCTCAGCTGACATCTTCCTTGCCGAGTTGCGTGAGGCCACTTGGTATGAGCTAAAAATGAAGGCGTGCAACAGCGCTGGGTGTGGAAACCAGAGCTCCCAGTTTGCCACGCTGGATTATGACGGCAGTAAGTTTACAAACAGGAGAGTTTTATTTCCCAGTAATTCTGCCAGCATTAGTACAGATGTACAAATATATGTATTACAGAATGACACAAAAGAACATGTACAATTAGCAGCTAAATCAATTAATTAAGCTGTTTTTAGGCCTGAATTTTAGAGATAAGAGGCCTTGACGTGAGCTTTATCTCGATCTCTGTACTTATCTCGATTTCCTTTCCTCTGCAGGCACTATTCCGCCTATTAAGTCAGCAAGAGGGGAAGGGGATGATGTTAAAAAGCTTTTCTCTATCGGCTGCCCTGTCATCCTGGTCACGTTGGGCATGGCCCTACTCTTCATTATTCGCAAGAAACGCAAAGAAAAGAGACTCAAGAGACTTAGAGGTGAGAGAGAAATAGGCAGAAAATGTAGAGAAAGTTGTTTGAATAGAATTATATATATATATAGAGAGAGAGAGAGAGAGAGAGAGAGAGAGAGAGTTCTGG